ATGAGAGGGCTTAGAGAAGACAAATAATTTTTAGTAGGGAGCCATGGGAGAGCATGGAGTGGGATAGGGGAACAGTCTTGAATCTCCAACCGGGTCCATAGAGGAATATTGGTTACGCGATGGATAGTAATGAGGGGTAAAATTTGGGATGCCTGATAGTATAGTAGGACATTCTGTAGTCCTATGCCTCCATCTTTTTTATGTTTATACAAAGAAGACCTCGATACTCTAGGTCTTAACCACTTGAAGTCCGAGGTGTTAAACCCTCTTCCTGTCCAGGCCATTTTTCAGTATTCAGCGCTGCGGTACTTTGACATTTTTTCCATCATGCAATGCTGTACTGAAATTAATTTTCTACAATTGTTGGGGGACAGATAGCTTTCTTTTGGTGGTATTTAATCACCACTGGGGTTTTTATTTTTTGCTATATTAAGGAAAAATCACGGTAAATTTTGAAAAAAAACCTTTCTCCTATATTTAATTATGAAACATTTAATAATACCCAATATTTTGGTAAAATATAAAAGACGCGGTCATTAGGGCTGCAGCTAACGATTATTTTCCTAATCGATTAGTTACCCGATTAATCGGATAAAATAAAGTTAATACCATAATTTATTTAAAATAAAATACACAAATGCAGCGTTACAGACATAAAGTCTACTTGAGAATAAAACAGTGCACACATTTTTTGATATCGCACTGGAACGCAGGGCATTGCAGTACCGCGCATTCCAGTGCAGGCGATCACACTGCAGACGGGAGGGGCATTTGGGTTCCATTTGAAATTAATGGCACTGCAACGCACCTGCAGCAAAATTTGTCAGGCCAAAACTGAAAATGACTTTTCCCACCTTTTTTATTTATATACATACAATTATTAAAAGGATACATCTTTTTAATAATTGTATGTATTATATTAGACACTGTAATTAGGTTCATGGATTTTAAATAATGTGAATTGTAAAACTAAGCAAATATAATAAAAAAAACAACCCTTTATTTAACCACTTCTGGGCCGCAATACCTCCTATAGTAGTGGTTAAAACAAGAACTTCTTGGTACTGCTTTTAACAGGCGATGGCTGTTAATGTACAAGCGATCCGACGTCTGTACAGCCGCCTGTCCGCCGTTGTCTCCTCCGGGCACCGCTGTCCCCGTGCTTCCAGCCACTGATCTCTCTTCCGATCACTGGACCCGGAAGTGATGTGAGTTACATCACTTCCGGTGTCACTGTACACAGTCTCTGGCTCTTGGAGCCAGGGGATGAAGCTGGGAAAGCAGATCTTTGCTTCCTCAGCTTCTTTGTGGTCCCTAGGTGACATAAGGGGTCTGAAATAACAGTGAGGTCTCCATAAGGAGGACCTGTCACACCCTATCTGCTATTACATAGGGGTGCTTATTAGCCCCCTATGTAATAGCAATAGGGTTAGTGTAAAAAAATAAAGTGTTTAAAAGTTATAAAAATGAAAGTAGCATAAAAGAAAAATAAAGAAATAAATCCTCCGCCCCGCACGTGCACGCACATACACGCGTCGGTGCACCTACGTGTGAAAAGGACAATTGTGAATGTCGGCGTGAGAGCAATAATTCTAGCCTTGTCAATCACTGTTAGCACTAAACTGATGAGCGGTAAAAGCGTTTAAAATGTTGCCTATTGGAAATTTTGGGTATTTACTTTTTTTGCGGCTTCACATGGCTTGACATGTTTGGTATCTATTTACCCGGCGTGACCCAGTCTTTCATATTTCACCAAAAAATTGGGTATCGTCATACGAATGGCCCGGACGGGGTGTTGATCGTACTGCAGCCAGCACCAGCGGGGAGGAGAACAGCGGCAACTATTCGATGATGAGAATCGTAACCAATGATTCTCATTATCGATTTTAATCGAATAGTTGTTGCAGCTCTAGGGTTCACGTTGGGTAAATGGACACCAAACATGCCAGGCCTTAAAATTGCACGCACCCGTGAAACTTTGAAAAACGACTACCCAAATTGTCCATAGGTGACGCTTTACAAGATTGAAGGTGAGGGTGCAAGATTGAAGGTGAGGGTGCAGGAGGGGGGGGCGGTGGTACTGCGGCAAGGGAGGGTGGCGCGCATGGTGGCACATACAAGCGATCGGACAGCTATAGAGCCGCCGATTGCTTGTATGTGTAACGGCTGTACGGATTCCCGGCGGGATTCTGCTCGCCCGCGCAGAAAAAAGACGTACATTTACGTGACCCAGCCGAGAAGGGTCCGCCAGTAATTTTACAATGGGTGGACGGCAACGGGTTAAGGGGTGCCATATACATTTTAAAATAGTCCTCTGTAATGATCATAAGGCCAAGAAAGATATTGCCACCGGCAGGGTTCTAAAATAATATTGCAATTTTGGGAGTAGGGACATTCTGACCGCAGCCAAGATGGCTTATGGTGTACCCAGTTGGGGAATATAATTGGCCATATACAGGTTATCATAGGAGGGGGTTATAGTCACTCCTAGATATCGTATGGATTGTTGTGCCCAAGAGAAAGCAAAATTCTCACGAAGTTGCTTATACTCGTGTTGGAGTAAGGATATATTCATAGGAGCAAGTACATCCCCTTTTTAATGCATGTCAGAACTTTGTTTGCCGCAGCCTGGCATTGCATGCTATTATTCAATCTGTAGTCGACTATGACCCCCAAATCGTTTTCCATTTCTGACTTCCCTGGTGGAGTACCCATTAATGTGTATTCCGCTTGCCTATTTTTAACCCCAAAATGCATTACTTTACATTTTTCAACATTAAACCATCTGCCATGTAGTTGCCCACTCTCTTATTATATGCAGGTCCTTCTGTAATGTTATAATGTCTAAGCTCGTGTCTATTACCCTCCCAATTTTAGTATCATCTGCAAACACAGAAACATAGCTATTTACAACTTTCCCAATATTATTAATAAACAGGTTAAACGGTATTGGGCTTAGCACAGAACCCTGGGGCATGCCACTCTCGACATTAGAGCAATTTGAAAGAGCCATTTATAAAGTGACTGTGCAATAAATAGATACCGTAACAATTGGCAATAGTATTTTCTTCCTTTTTTTTTTTCTTCAAACGGTCAATCAATAATCGATATTATAATGTGCAAATTTCATCGATGTGACCAATAACATAAATCCTTAGGAATACTGCTTACCTGACTCCCAGACCCAAAGCGGGTCTAACCACGCTTGTCCCCTCTTTTGAAACCCAGGTAAGGGAATGTAGCCCACTGTCCTGCACATGGGGAAAGCTCCTGATCTCCTTTCTCTGTGGTTACTCTGTGGTATTGCCACTTCCAATGTATCTTCTACGTAGTGCAGATCAATATATATATAATTTTAAAAAATGCTTTATTCAAACAAAGTCCTACTCGCATGTAGATTAAAAACAAATTGCATCAAAATTGGATATACACTTCTCAATCCTCTGTGAACTTCGTCAACTGTGCTTGCCTGCTCCAGCCTATGTACGTTGCGTCAAATGCGCAACTTCATCAGGGAGTCGATGAAGTAGACATCATCTGTTATTGTAGAAGATGGTAAAACCCTCTGCACTCCTCACAGCGTTCCCGGCGCAGATAACCGCAATGGTGCTCGCAGTGACAATCATGGATGGCACCATGCAATCATCATAGGAAAGACAGGAATCGCCAGCACTCAGCAAATGTTGTTGATGGACCAGTCGTCACAGAAAAAAAAACAATGTTTCGGGGCCGCACAGGGTCCCTTCATCAGGGGAAATATTAGTTTTAGACCCCTGACGTTTCCCTTTTGAAAAAGAAATTGGGGACACAGAGTCCCCATTTCTTTTTCTGCAGCCTCAGCACTCAGTACAGAGGCTTCCCATTCATTCAGAAACTGTTGATAGTTTGATATTTACTATCAACCAGTTTCTGAATGGGGAAAAGCCTCAGTAGTGAGTGCTTCTCCCCATTGAGAAAATCATGAATGAACAGGAAGTGATGTAAATCACATCCTGTATATACAGGTGAAACTCGAAAAATTTGAATATCGTGCAAAAGTTCATTTATTTCACTAATGCAACTTAGCTGTCTACCAGGAGATTTTGGAGCACTTCATGCTTTCTTCCGCAGACGAGCTCTATTGGGATGCTGACTTCATTTTCTAGCAGGACTTGGCACCTGCCCACACTGCCAAAAATGTTCTGAGATTGTGGATTTGCGGTTTTCATAAGCCATAATCATCACAATTATGACACATCACGGCTTGAACTATCTTGCTTTGCATGTAATGAGTCTATCTCATATATTAGCTTCACCTTTTAAGTTGCATTAGTGAAATAAATGAACTTTTGCACGATATTCTAATATATATATATGTGTGTGTGTGTGTGTATGTATGTATGTATTTATATATAATATATATACACACACACACACACCACGGTCAGCCGCTGGTGATCGCAAGGCACAAATTAAAATCCCATGTATTCCTATGGGGGCCGTTCACGCAAATTCACCGAATTGCTTGTCAAGATACGCCTGTTTGAAATGGTCCCTGAGCTTCTTTTGTCGCAATTATCAGCTCGTTTTGCTCCATCGACTTCAATGAAAACGCGCAGATCAGCGCCTTTCAACGTGTTTGCGTGTGTTTTTGCAGCTGAGACTGCTTTTCATTGGGCAACTGAAAACCAGCTGAAAATGCACCTTAAAACGCTATTACATATGAACAGAAAACGCCTGTAAAGCACACAGAAACACTGTTGCCCTGGTGTGAATGGTGTCTGTAAACCTTCAATAAAGCTGCTTGAAGCTTGACCAAGGCTGTGCAAAAGATTGCTTTACACACTGTATTTCAAACAAAAGTCTTTGTGAATAAGGCTTAAAATGGATTTACATTTTGATCAAAATCTAAAAGCTGAAGTCAGTAAATTTGATACTACATAAGAAATTTAAAGTGGAACCTTTTTTCTTCAATTTTGTCTTTTTGTGTAACAGGAGTTTACCTTGGATATATGTGGACCATGTCCCAGGCAACCAAGAATGTGACCGGATTATTGTGAGTACATACTGTATAGCAAATAGTTTAGACATATCTTGTATATCATGCTTGTGTCGGGATATATTTTTTGATTTTATATCTCAGGCATCCTGTTTCCAAAACACCAAGTGGCAATTATTTGGTCGCCATTAAACAAGAGAAAACTGAAGTGCCCAGAACAAGTGAAGAGAAAAACTCAGTGGTTGAAGAAGAGGTGAAGTAACACTTCCTTTTGTTTAGGTTACTTTTAAATAGTTGTAATAAAAGATCAACAAGGTTTTTTGTTTTTTTAGGCCCACATTTTGGGCTCGTTAACACCATCTGCATTCGGGCGGCACTGGAAAAAAACGGTCATTTACCTTGTCATGGTACTAACAAATGTTTTGTCATGTATTGTCAAGTACTAACAAAAAAAAGGAAAGATTAAGCACATGGGCACTGCTCGGGCACATGCACATCAGCAGCTGGCTGCTGGTGCGAACAAGACTTTGGACTTCCTAGCAGCTGATCTTCTGAGCGGGAAAAAAAAGTAAATTTAAATAAGTTGGAAGAACAATGATGAAATTGAAAACGGCACCCTGCCTCAGCAGCTCTGCTGATTCTCAGTGGGGGTTAATGCTCAGGCTGAATTTCCCTTGCTACAGAATATTCAGTTGGAGGGGTTTTCCATTTGGTAAAAGAAGTTCCTTGATGTGAAGTTCTAGAAATGCCACACCACAGGTTAATAGTCCATTTAAATTTTTTTTTTCCAAAGCAAGATCAGATAGAGATCAAGTGAGGAAGCCAACATGTTTCGAGGCCCAACAGTGGCCCCTTCAACAAGGCTAAGAAAACATGCAAAAAATAACAAAAGAACAGCGCCTTCTCCTTATGAAATACTGTTTAATTTGTCAATAAAAGACTGGATAAAAATATATATCCACTCACAAACAGTCTGTATATTGGGCATTCAGAACAAACGTCCAAATTGGTGGACTTGGGTCAGCACCCTGTTGAACTATCGGACATCCAGAATGTGAGCAGAAGCAATCTATTAGGCTTTGCTGATGTGTTTCCAGGGATAAACCCTCTTCTTCAGAGCAAATGGCAATACTCCAATTAACAGCTGAGCTGGGTGACAGACTTGATAATATAGATCCTTGTATTCACCTAGCTCAGCCATCGAGTGCATGCAGATCCTTAGCTACGTTTGGGGTTGGCTATATCCTGGATTTAAGGTCTGCCTGTAGGTGTTCCTCATGGGGTGGGAGGCACATATGACCGAGTGACTTGTTGCTTTGTCACACTGCCTCCAAGGCAAACAGCACCCCTGTTTTGGCAGTGAGGTGACTTGTCACAGGGATGGTGCCCTCCTTCATCCAGTATGATGTGGTAATTGAGGTAACCTGTTTCCCCGTCCCTTCTGGGGTGGCTATCTATGGGGTCTGGGTACCTTTTTGTTTTCCTTGCTCCCTGTGTGTGTGATATGCAGTGCCTCCTACCAGTCACATTGTCTCCGAGTAGCAGATAGACGCTGGTTCTAACCAGGAGCAACCTGTTCTTCTGCCTTCAGTCCGCGTTTGCTGCATGGACTTCCCCCTTGGACACTGGTGTTTTTTATGGGACTGTGGGAGCCAGTGTTGGCTATATGCGTCAGGGATAGCTCTGAGATCCTAAATGTAGTTTTGCCTCCTCTGTGTCCAGTCGCAGGTGCACGCACCACGCGTTTGTGCTGTTCAACAATTGAGGCCATGGCTTGGGGTCCACTAGGGCTGGAGGCCATGGCCGCCATCTTAATGTTGGGCCCCATCCCATGTGGTATGTCACTTCCACAGCTGCCTGGTTTCTTTGCGTGGGCCCCCTTCACCCCCCCAACAACACTCACCAGCTGGAACTCTGGCAGCCCTATTTCCTTTGGTAGGCTCAGGCAACCTTAGGAGGCGGGGCCGGCAGCGATGCTGGGATTGAGCATGGGTTCATGTCTAATCATGTCATGTATTGAGTGCTGTGCCTGGGAGGGGTGTTGGCTGCTAATGTTGTGCCCAGTACACTTCCACTGTTATGTAATACAGGGGAGTATATAGCTGTCTTGCCAGAAGACTCTCATTTCAGCAGCACACTTGCTGTTTCCAGGTGCAGTGGGTTTTGTATTCTCCCTTGTTGTTGGTTTCCTTCTTTCTCTTGCTGGATCTAGGGGCAGCCTGTATGTGTTCCCCATGGGGGGACACATATGTCCAGGTGATCTGGTTGCTCAGTTATTGTATCCCACCAGGGAGAGAACGCCCCTTGTTGCGGCAGAAGCGATCTGTCTAGGGAGCATATCCCCACTTTCATCTGAGGGGGGATGTAGAAAGACAGTCTTCTGTGGGTTCCCTTCTACCCCTTATGTATGGCATGTGCTGGCTTTAGTGCATTTATTTAGTGTCTCTGCTGAGGTGGGAAGCAGGTTTCTTCCTGCCTCTACCACCATTAATCCTACTGAGCACCCTGAGTGGGCTGTTTGTATGTTTGCAGACTGGCCGCATATATGGTCTGGCGCAGAGCTTAAGACCCCATGTTGGGGGACGGGTCTCTGGCGGACTTGCTGTGCAAGGGTACTTGCCGACAACCATGTTTTGACTTGGCACGGTGTTTGTACTATGGTCTGACGGCCACCAATGCCCATGTTATGCGTGGCTGTGCGAAGTATGTGGGTAGGCATGAGTGTCTGATGCTCCATCCGGCCCCTCTTATGATGAAACACAGGGCGCTTTGGCTGCTGCTAGGTGAAGTGTGGACTTGCCTCTGTGTGATGTTGACTCAGCGCTACTCTTGTTGTGCCTGTCATGATGGTTCAAGGTTGCAGTGTGCCTCTATCCCCTGTTGGTGGCTGCAGTCACTTTGTGATATGTTTTTTTTCTGCAGTTACCATGTCTTGTGCCTGGGCTCCATGTTAGGGCTGCGGCTCCCCTCCTTGGGGAAATTATGGGGATTTTTGTTTTCCCTCTGTGCCCACTGAGACTTTTGCTCCTCTGTAGTTAAACAATAGAAAACAGATAAAAGAAGCGCTACTGCCCTTTAAGTATACATATAATACCATGTATGTTGTGGTGTTCATGCATAGCAACATTAGCATGAGCCTAGATAGACAATTGAATGATTAAATGATTGTACAAATGGATAAAATTACTCACTGTTGTATGAGATTAATGGATGGCTCAATGGTGACTGATGAGGAGTAATGTTTCTCTGCCGAGAAGGGCGCCTATCCGGAATCCAGGGTCACAGGGAAAGGAAAAGGCTGTGGGCTGTATTTTGGCCGGTTGCCTCCATCAGGGGCATATATATCAAAAGGATGACTCTGTGAAGAGTCACAAGCAAAGGGTGTCTCTGTGCAGAGTCACAAGGTCCCAGCTGGCCAGGCTGAGCCTTAGTGGCTGCGTGAAGGTGCGGCGAGGAGACCGCTCCGCTGCTGTCTGATTCGCTGTGTCTCGCTGGCAGTGAGCAGTAGGATCGATACACAGTGTGATGTCAGTGGAGGGCTGGGCGGAAGCTATCCAATGGCTACGCGTTTCGAGGCCGACGCCTCAGCCGGAGCGGGGAGTCAAGAACGGGCGGGAGTTTCAGGGACTGTTTAAATGTGACAGGTAGGAGCTACCTGCCGTGTAACTATTCTATAAGTGGAGACTCAAAAGGAATAATAACTTTGAGAGTGGATAAAAGCTAGGAAGTACACTTCCCACATGGTCTACCATTGCACATACAATACACACTTCGCTTGGTGAATGGAAACAAACTTTCATCCCGGGAAATACTCTGAGTGATGAATAAGGTGGGCAGTCAGGTCTGGATCAACAGTTGGCCCTGAGTACAATCAAGGGGGGAAATCTCTGTGTTTGCGATCTTGTTTCAAGGACCACTAACCTCCCATTCCTTGATTAAGATTTTTGTGCAGGGTCCCATGTGGCTCTCCCTTTGCATTTAACCATCACAGCCAATTTGAATTTGGTTCTTTTGCATCTTCAGAAATTGCCTTTTGATCCAATCAGAAATTAACCTTCACACATTTACTCACAAGGTTACTTTTCTGGTTGCCATTACCTCTGCAAGTCATGTCTCTGACCTGTTGGCCTTGTCCTGTAAAGAATGCTTACTTGACAGCCACTGCTTATATTAGAAAGACTTACTGGATTATGCACAAAGGGTAAAGAGTTTGGAGAAGCCAGTGAACAATCTAGGCCAAAATAGCTGATTTTGAAAAATTCTCCAATTCAGCTCACTTTCCAGTTCAGCTATGTTGTCCTAGATTGTTCACTCCTGCCTTCTCCAAACTCTTCACCCTTATGTGAATAACCCTGGTATTCTCTCCATCTTTCCTTATGGTCCCCACAAAGGGGAACAAGCTTATAGTTCCACCATCTCTTGGTGGCTCAAACAGATCAAAACTTTTTGCTGTAGAGTCGATTTAGAAAATCCACAGTTCTCTCTTACACAGTCATAGGACTATTTATAGAATGTCAGAGAACAAGATATGTTAATTCCTAGCTAGGTCAAAGTTACACACCAATGTCTGGTGTACTTTCTATCTAAGCAAGATATGGCTTTTGGTAGGAAGGTTTTGGAGAAGGTATATCTAACTTTTGATATTGCTGTTCTGCAAGGTGATTGACAATATCAGAACTTTTTATCCATAGGTGTCTTTCACAAATCCCAACAGGGTAACCTTTGATTTTCCATGCATGTAGAAAAGAAGAAAGGGTTAAGAAATTAAAATTGGTCTCAGCTTTAATATCATTATTACCCTCTGGACACGTTCCCGTAGCCAGTTCTCTATCCACGTACACACCACCTCAAGGTGATTGACCTCATCTTTTATGTTGCTCCCTGGCAAAAGAGGTCACCAGAAAGACTAGCTTCTGATTTAGCATTTATATTCTGCGTGCGTAACTCTTATAACTTTATTGTTGTTTAAACTTTGTTTTAAGTGTTTTTTTCTTTCTCCATTTAAAATTATAGCCTGTAAAGAAAAGAGGATGGCCAAAGGGAAAGAAACGAAAAAAAGTCTTGCCCAACGGACCAAAAGCTCCAATTACTGGATATGTGCGTTTTTTAAACGAGCGCAGAGAGCAAATTCGGTCACAATACCCTGATCTACCATTTCCTGAAATCACAAAGATGCTGGGAGCTGAGTGGAGTACTTTGCCGGGACAAGAAAAACAGGTCTTATAGCAGATCATAACTGTCTTCATTGTGTGTAATAAAGCATGTGTTTCTTCTGAACACACCTTTTCAGTGCTCTGAAAAAGCAGAGTGTTGGAACTGCAACCATAAACAATTTTAATTTAGTTTGATAGAAGTTTACTACAAACTACTTTAAGGCTTACTGCAAGTGTTTTATGTAATTTGGCACTGCCAACCAGAACATCTACTCCGGTATCTCCACTAACATTAAAACATAAGTACAATGGCTACTCCTGAACCACATAGATGCTCAGGAACTGAGCAACCTATAACCAGGCTTTGGCATTGGGTGTGTGTGGATTATCCAGTAGTGAAATTATTTGCATAGCCACCTCAATGGGCAGGTAGGAAACAGCTGAATTCACATATGCGCTTTAAATAAGCATGGTCCTAGAAACCAGTCGATGAAATGGGATCATGTTTCAAGTATTTCATGTATTTGCACCCTTGCAGCCAAATTTGAGAAACCACCATTATATGTTCCTGTTCACATTCATGCAGCATATCTAAAAATAATTTTAAAAAATACATTTCTTACCTTTTCTATTTGTTTCTTCGAAGCAGAATTGTATTCAGTGCATTCAGAAAGCATTTAGACCTCCTTCACTTTTTTAAATTTGGTTATGTTGCAGCCTGATACTACTGTTTTTTTAAATTCTTTTTTTTCTCATTTATCTACACTCAGTACCCCATAATGACAAAAGTGAAAACAGCATTTTAGAAATGTCCTGTGAAAAAAAAAAAAAAGAACAAAATGAAATATCACATGTACTTAAGTATTCAGACCCTTTATTCAGTACTTTGTTAAAGCACGTTTGGCAGCAATTACAGCCTTGAGTCTTTTTGGGTATGACATGACAAGCTTTGCACACCGCCAGTGGACAGCCATTTTCAGATCTCTCCAGAGATGTTCAATAGGGTTTGTTCTGGAAATTAATATACGCTTCCTGCGTATATTAATCCGTGCGCTTAAAAGCACAGTTGTACTAAACTCTTTCATAGAAGGACCGGAGGTCTGTAGAGTCATGTAGTCAAGACAAGGTGTTGCTTTCAAGCTGGAGTTCTGTGTTCAAGTGTCATTCTGACCACTAGCTCCGTTTATGTATAGGCAACAAAAGGAATGACAAACAGGAAGTCGTGGCTACAACAGCCAATCGTTTCCTCCATGCACAATGGCATCACAGGAAGTGACAACAGAAAAGTGGAGGGCACCCACGTGCATGAGCAGAGCATGACTCATCCTTGCCACATGTATGCACATCCGCCATTTTGGCCAGCATGGACCTTATTCAATACTGCTCAGAGTGACCAGTATCTATTAAGATCATTCTACTTGTTCTTATAGGTTTGAGACTATCTGAGGAGATATTGCTAATGCAGTTATCAATATACGGGACAAGTACACCGACAAGGCAGATATCAATGTCTTCTTGTAAAAACAGATGTATCCAAAAGGGGTAGCGCAGCCGTAATAGAGATATAATATGTATCTCTCGTTATGCAGACTTCGCTTCGCTAAGGTGCATAGACGTTTGAAGGCAAGAAGCCCAGCGCATTGGACCTAATGCTCACAAACCGGCAAACGACCCCACACACTGCGAACACGTCTCCAAACCCATGAGAAGGTTGAATACTGACGGTTTTACCGCTGGTCCTGATTCAACCCAAGTACGCTCTGCTAGAGCGCTCCTCGGTTAAATCTGACACAGTGAGGCAGATGACAACCTATAAAACACACACACACACACATATCCTAATCTAAAATGTCCACATGAGTCCATATAATAAAATTTCCACAACAGGTTCAAGTCAGGGCTCTGGCTGGGCCACTCTAGGACATTCACAGAGTTGTCCCTAAGCCACTTCTGTGTTGTCTTGACTGTGTGTTTAGGATCGTTGTCATGTTGGACGGTGAACCTTCGGCCCAGTCTGAGGTCCTGAGCACTGTGGAACAGGTTTTCATTGTGGACATCTTTGTACTTTGCTCCATTCAGCTTTCCCTCAACCCCGACCAGTCTCCCAGTGCCTGCTGCTGAAAAACACCCCTACAGCATGATGCGGCCACCACCATGTTTAACTGTTGGGATGGTATTGGGCAGGTGATGAGCGATGCCTGGTTTCCTCCAGACATAATGTTTAGAATTGAGACCAAACAGTTCAATCTTGGTTTAATCAGACCAGAGAATCTTGTTCCTCACAGGCGGAGAGTCCTTCAGGTGCTTTTTTGCATACTCCAAGCGGGCTTTCATGTGTTTTTCACTAAGGAGAGGTTTCCGTCTAGCCACTCTGCCATAAAGGCCAGATGGGTGGAGGTTTTGCAGTGATAGTTGTCCTTCTGGAACTTTGTCCCATCTCCACACAGGATCTCTGGAGCTCAGTCGGAGTGACAATCGGGTTCTTGGTTACCTCTCCTACTAAGGCTCTTCTGCCCCAATTGCTTAGTTTGGCCCGACGACCAGCTCTTGGAAAAGTCCTGGTTGTGCCAAACTTCTTCCATTTTGAGAATTATGGAGGCCACTGTGCTCTTGGGAACCTTCAGTGCAGCAGAAAGGTTTTCTTGTAGCCTTTCCCAGATCTGTACCTTGCTATAATCCTGTCTCTGAGCTCTGCAGGCAGTTCCTTTTGACATCATGGCTTTTTCTCTGATACAGTATGCATTGTCAGCTGTGAGGCCTTCTATAGAGAGGTTTGTGCTAGGGATACTAGTATGCCCAAATGCTCAGATACCTTCCCCGATACCGGAACTTCCGGTCAAAGGGAGATTTCCTCTGACCGGCAGTGCTGCCAGGCAACATAAAACCGGCTTCCTGGCCAATCAGGAAGCCCGTTTGGCCAGCTCCATGCTGTTTGGCTGGGAAGCTGGGTTCCCGGGCCAATCAACATGCAGCTGGCCAAACCGCATGGAGCAGGGTTTCCAGCTTTGGTGCGGGGTCAGGGGGCACAGAGGAAGGCCGTGCAGATAGTCACCCAGACAATGTAACTCGGATACTAATCAGGATGACGTTGGGCACCAGCAGTTTGGTCTTCCTTGACACATCATCCTTAGCTACCTCCAATAGAGCCTCCCAGGACCCCTTATGCTTCTAACGCTTCTAGCACCGAGCGGACAGACACAGCGTGCCACACCAAGCAATGGAGGAGTGGCTAATCCAAGAGTGAACCCTCTCAGAGCAGGCCGAACACAATTAGGATGATAGTATTTGCCTGGCTTGGTCCATTGAGCCAGTCAAGGATTAATAGATGGGTATGCTTTGCAGATTACAGGGTACAGACAGCTATGCTTTTCCCTGTAAATTACAAAGAGTCACACAGTAGGGATGCACTAATAACATTTATTCCAGACCAAGTAAGAAAGTACCGATACTTGTAATAATGAAGCTACAGCAATGCAGAATAATATGAAGCTACATGCTCTGCGCTGATGCGGGATGCCGGCCTGATATCTCCTGCAGAGGATATCAGGTGGCTGTGTGGGGTCTAAGGTGAGCTGTGCAAGTTCTATGGTGGGCTATACGAACTCTCACCTGGCTGAGCAGGTTCCATTGTGGGCTGTGTGTACTCTCAGGTAGGTTGTGCAGTGACTCTCAGGTGGGTTGTCTTTGGTCGTTTGTGCGGCTCTCAGATGGCTGTATGAGGTTAATGGTGGGGTTAATGGCGGCTCTCAGAGCCACCATTAACCCAACACAGCCACCTCTGAGCCAGCATTAACCCCTGCACAACTACCTCAGAGCCGCCAATTCACCCCCGCACAGCTACCCCAGAGCCGCCATTAACCCCGCACACCTACCCCAGAGCCGCCATTAACCCCACACACCTACCTCAGAGCTACCATTAACCCTGCACACCTACTGCAGTAGGTGTGCAGGGTTAATGGCAGCTCTGGGGTAGGTGTGCGGGGTTAATGATGGCTCTCTGTGGTATTGGCACATCCCTAGTACACAGTACAATGGAAAAGTAGGATAGAATCCTACTCCTGCCTTGAATGTGCACCTTCTGTTGCAATATTTTAAAGTTTTACAGGGTTACATTAATATAAAACGTTCTGACATTTCCATGGAAACAATCTCATGGAGGAGAGTAACAAACACGCAAAGGTTGTTATACAAAGGTGTTTTCAAGTGTTATATTCGCATTTCAACTCCTCTTAGCACATTAAAATCTGTTTACTAGGCAGGTCAAAGCAGAATGGTTGTCATCGCCTAATGGGGGACATAGACAGAGGTATTATGGATTGTCAGAAGAGGGTGATCAATGAAGTAGGGAAGGGGGAAGACAGTGTAGGGTAGAGTAGGGAGGAATATTGGAGGGGAAGTGTCAACATCAGTATAATTGATTTGCTTTTGATTAAACGGGTAACTCCTTGTCGGACCACTGATCAGTTCTTATACTGCAGGACCAATTCACCACATTCCCATTATCCCTCCTGGCCCCATGTCATTGTGCGTGCCTATATACCTCTGAAGCTGGTTGGATCCATATTAGGGTGTTGGTGGAGGATCCAAGGTTCCCAGATGAGTAGGAACTTGGCTTGTGAATCCTCCACGATACTAGACAGCCTTTCATTTAACATCATGTTATCTAACCTACGAGTGAACTCCATATATGTGATTTGATGCTTTTTCCAGTTGCCCGCCAGGGTGAGCTTAGCTGCAAGGAAAATTAAAATGTGATAGCGCCCGTTGCGAGTTATGCAGTTCCGGGATGGGTAAGTGGAAAAGAGCATGTTGAAGGTTTCTAGGGATATGCTTGTGGAACAAGGCAGCGAGTAGTCTATATATTTTGATCCAAAAACGGGTAGCAGTAGGGCATCGCCACCATATCGCCAGGTTCCCGGCAACCCCCGGCAACAATCTCCTGAGGAAGTAGGTTATAGACGGGCAAGTCTAGCTGGGACCATATACCACTTCATAATCACTTTATACGCCACTTCGGCGTTCGTAACATTACGTGAGCATTTGGCGATATTCTTCCATACTTGT